ACTCTGACTTTCTTTCATGTGATGGCATCTCTTCAAAACTTTAGGAAATTTATGTGGAACATGTGAATTTAGTTGACAGATTTGTAGAGATTGGTTGATTGAATTTAAAGAATTTATTATAATAAATGTTTTTTGTATTTCCCAATGAATGAAAAACAAAACGAGATTGCTGTTTTTACTGACGTTTTGCTATTTACTGCTGCTAATAGCTTTATCAAAGTATCACTAAATCAGATTTTACAAAATCTCATGTATGATAACTCAGTCATCGTTCCTCAGCATGGGGTAGTGTTTACATCGTCAAGTTGTCCATTTGGTTGGTAAGTATAACAAACCAAAGTGCAGATTACTGGATTTGATAAGTGTATAAAATTATGAAAGCAACATGTGTTTACACAATGAATTTGATTATCACATTTGTGTTGATTTTGATCACATTCAAGGAGGAGGGTTTTGTAACCAGGTTAAATTCTGTTTTAGTCCATCATTCCTATTCAGACAATTTGGATTCCATTTGATATGAAGTGCTTCCGATGATATTAGTCGTTCTTTGTGATTCCTGAAGTTTTTCTCGATTATTTCAAAATTGTCAAAATCAATTTTGTGGCCTGATTCTATAGCGTGTGGACCTATGGCTGATGACTTTTCAAGCTTCTCTAGTTTAGCTCGATTTATTTCTCGGTGGTCGAACAGATGCTCTACGGTATTCATTTCTTCTGATTTTGATTTCTCGAGATGTTTGTCCAATGTACATCACATCACATTCCAAACAAGCATTTTATTTTATAGAGACAGTTGGATAGAGAATCCATAGTTATTTGGTTTTTTATATAGACAAGGTTGTTTCGCAGTGTGTCTGATGTTTTGAAGAGGACTCTTGTGTCGGGCTGATTGAGTACTCTTCTGATGTCGTCTGATGTCTCTGCTCTGTATGGAATGATGACTGGTGAGGTCCATGTATTCGGAATACGTCATCGATCATACCCTATGTCAGTTCTGATTTTGTTGATAAAGTTCTTTGGATAGTTATTTTGTCTAAGAGTCTCAGTAATGTTTAAGTTTTCTTCTTTTTCCTTCTCATCCGTTATCAGAGAGTGTGCTCGTCTAAGACAACTTGAAACAACTGAAATCCTTGTGCTGATAGGGTGTGATAATTTAAAGTCTAAATATTTATTGGAGTGAGTTTTCTTCCTGAATATGAATATACTAAAATGTCCGTTTCCGCCCCCCCCGGTCCTTTTAACTGAACAGTCTACAAATGGTAGATCATCAACATCTGATTCTGCTTCCAAATTCTGGGAAATAGATTGTTTGGTTTCCTCAGGAATGAACTGTGTATATCTCGTGTTAGCACTACAAAAGTATCATCTACATATCTTAACCATATTTGAGGAGTGAGTAGGCTTGAAAAGATGTTATCTTCGAATCTACTCATAAAAAGATCAGTTAATATTGGGAAAACTAGTAAACTCACAGCAGCACTATTTGTCTGTCTGTGTTAATACCTTTAAATACATAATAATCAATTTCTAGACAGAATTTTAGGCTGTTAACTATTTCACTAGTGTCCAGGGGACATCTTTGTGATAGCATTGTATCTGATTCTAGTAAACTGGAAATGATATCAAGACTTTCGGCAATAGGGATACTACTATATAATGGGTTAATACCATAGCTTATCATAACGTCTTTTTTTATCAGTTTCTCGGTTTTCTACTTGGGATTTGAAATCATTTGATTCTTTTAGAATATTTTGAGTATCCTTTTGCAGTGGTTGCAGTGTTGAAAACAAGTATTCGGAGAGGTTGTATGTTTGTGAGTTGGTAAAATCTACTACTGGTCTTAATGAAACTGTGGATTTATGTATCTTTGATTGACCGTGGAATGTTTACGGTATACAAGATTTTTGTTTTTGTTTAAACCAGAAAGAATTTTTAATTTTGTATTTTAGTTCTTGAAGAAGTCTGTTGGTACATAGTTTCATTTTGTTGAGTTCAGCAGATTTCTTTTCTTCCATGAATACGTATAGTCCATCGAGTAGGTGTTTAAACGCCCTCCTTTCATTATCCATTCTGTTCATTATCACAGTGACGGTTCCCTTGTTGGCTTTAGTTATAACGATGCTTTTGTCTTTTTTCAAATTTCTTAGGGCCTCATATTCTTGTTTAGTGAGATTACATGGAATATTTCGTTGTGTCATTAATATATCGCATTATATACCGGAAAGTAGGTAAAAACAATATCGTTTTGTTTTTCATTCATTGAGAAGTTAGGATTCATGGGCAATTGGATCAGGTCCTAACAGTTAAATGGCCTAAGAACTGGCCTTGCAACCAGAAGGTCCTGGGTTCGAACCCTTGCGGTGGGTGCGTACTGAGAAGCGCCCTAAACTAGGACGAAACAGTTAGCTGTCCAGCACTCCCAAGTTTTCCAGGGGCTCTTCAACTCATGTCAGCTGATGATGAAATCCATCAAACAATCAAATAAATTTCTCTACAAAAGCAATACTTGAAAATTAATCAGATGCTCACTGGCGACTGACCCTATTCGGGCAGTTAACCTGGAGTTCTAGTGGGAAGCCGTGACTAGTAAGGTGCAGCAGGTTGCAGGTGAGGAAGTAACTCATCGAAGAAGACATTACGAAATACAAAAGAACCTTTATTATAATGCATATCATATACCTAAATGGCCAAATTTTTTGAAACTGTTGAAAGTTAACATGGTTTCGACATGTACAACTTAAAGATTTTATGGCTTATCCATGCAGAAATTTAAAAGAAATTAAAATTTAAAGCAGATTAACCCTAGTCTTCAACTTTTCAGTGATAGATTAACAAACTGCAGAGGGGAATACGTAGTCCGTTTTGACTTCTTATTCAGATTTATATTTCTCGGTTACACTGATTCATTACAACTTCAATCCTCAATTTAACTATGACCATTTTTCGATTCCTAAGCTTTGTTGTTCGACGTTAAAGCCTTCAGAAATATCAACTTTTACTCATGTTCTAAGCATCTTCTATTGTCTGTATCTTCTAGCTTACTAAAATCTACTTCTTGTTAATACGATTATGTATTCGTATGGTATAAACAACTCAAAGTGATTTATCAAGCAAAGTAAATAATCTATTTCAAGGTCGATGCTAACAAAACGTGCAAAAAGGCATAATTTAGAGACATTGAGTTATTGATTAATAAATAATGGAAAAGTAGAAAATTAAGTACACTAATTACAGACAAGGTCAACTAGCAGTGCATTAAAAAGACAAAATGAAGAATATCTTTAACAATACACATTTTTGAACTCTCCTAGTTCTCAGTAGTTGATAACATGAATACAAAGAATGTAAGAATATCGGTCAACAAAAAAGAAGTCATTTAATATGGCTATTGAAGTATTAAGCTAAAATAATTCATAAATGTTTTTTACCTAGAAAAGCATCGGTGGTTCTGTGGTGGAATATTTGCCAACTATACACATGGTTCAAGGTTCGATCTCCGGCTATCGCAATCCTAAACGTCTATAAACTGGTAGTAAGCCAAGTAATGAGGGAAGGTTGGACATGAAGCTAACAATCTAATTCTGTAGAAAAAATTAAGACCACTGCTATTGAAACTTCAAAGCTAAAGCTTGAAGCCCGTGTGTTCTACTCGGAACGCCAAAGAATAAAAAGACACTTAGAAAAACTTTCATTTATGCACCACCAAACCAAAATGTTTCACTGAGCAAAGCAGTATCTATCGGCTTATTGTTTCACCATTCGTTATAGTGGATCATACCACAAAGAAGAAGCCGTTGTTTGGACGTATTCCTACTAAGCATCGAAATCATTTTGTATAATGATCTAGGCAACTCAAGCCCTCAGTCAAAAGAAAAACTTGCTCTTTTCATAGGATAATTACAATATCTTTTAAAGATGAAGCCTTGTTTTGAGAAAATTCTATTGGTGGGTAATTTCGTCACAGTTAATCGGCAAACTAGATGGATTAACACCTCAGTGGAAATTGATAGTAGCGTAAAACTGCTTTGAAAAGAGTGGAAGCGCAACGCAATCTTTATTATTAATTCTACACACATGGGATTTAAATAAGTTTCTTTATTTGTGAGGAATGCATATCACTGTGTATAGAAGTCGCAGATTTTCACACTGAAGCATTCACAACTGAACTGTCACGTAATAGCAGATTGAATGCAAGGCAATTACAGGATTCAGACCCATATAAAGAGGCCAGAAGGCCGGTATTTATTTTGAAATATCATAAATTTTACATGTGAAAGCCAATAATAAAACACTGAGTTAGAAAAAGTTGAAATGTTTCTAATTATATGAAATGACATTTGCTAGAAGTATTTTTGTAGGCAACTAATTAACATAAATTTATCTGGGTTTATTTTTTCTAGGAGTGACAGTCACTCAGACTAGGCTTTTCCACGTATCAGTCAATGAATTCCATTTATTATGTCTGAGTTGATGATACCAGACAATTACCCAGGTTACCACAAGTAAGATGGGATTTGAAGACTAGGCCCAATGGCTAAAGTCAATTACTTCATTCAGTCAGTCAAATCACCTAAAAACTGAAAAGATATCAGTTTAATCTGTGACATTTTGGACAGCAGTATTCATAAAAGTGAAGAACACGGTACATCATATGAGTTATCCTACATTATACAAACATGAGTGCGTCGGTGGCACAGCTGTTAGGACGCTCGTCGACCATGCACATGATTCGGGGTTCGATCCTAGGCCACCAATGCACTCCTTTACCTCGCTAAGCCAGAAATAATGATGCTGGTGAAGAGGAAAGGTTGGGCATGAGGCTAGCAACCTCATTCTGTAAGATTAAACACTGCCACAGAAACTTCAAGCCACTAGCTTGAGGCCCTATGTTCCCCTCAGAGCGTGTAGGAAAAGAAAAGAAATGCAAACATGAGTTTAGTAGCACAATCAATAAAGAATTTGGTTATAAGCGGATATCAGTTTAACAAATATGCTTACCATAGAATCTATTCTCTCTTTTCGATTAAGCGGTTGTTTATCCTTCTCTTCATTATGAGGCATAATTGGTTTCCATGATGCTGACAAAGTTTTCCCGCCTCTCTTAATATCAGGAGAAAAAAGAAAGTAAACAAAACATCAGATTTAAGAAAAGAGAAAGAATAAATGCTCATCTACGTTTGATGAATTCAAATGCCTACTGACATGAAGCTGAGATGACTGCAGCATACTTGACCTATTATAATCAAGATAACTCCAATGTGAAGTCAGTGCTACTCACTTTACGGATCAGAGACTTGGCGCATCATAAAGAGCACCTCAAACAAACTAAAGACCTTCATCAACAGCTGTCTTCGCTCAGTACTTCGCTCAAGATCAGATGGCCGGCCAGAAAAGATCATCGATATTGAGGGATCTCTGGCAATCAACGAACCAACCCAGTAGCAACCGATTGTGCAACAAATAAGCAGGAGGAAATGCAGGTGGACTGGCCAGCCATCAAGTGACATCACTAGACAAGCCATCACTTGAGTGGAACCCGAAATGGAAGCGGCAAGTTGGTCGTCAGTGTGAGGGTGACTTGGAGGAGATCATGTGAAGAGGAGATGAAAGCATGTGGGCATGCTTGAAGCCAGGTGAAACCTCTAGCAGAGAAACGAACAAAATGGAGACTTGAGACTGAAGCCCTATGTTCCTCTAGGAATTAAGGGAAATGACAATAATAATACTAATAATAAATAATAATCAAGATTCTTAAAGGTAAAACTTGGCTGAAATCAGATGTTTACTGTAATTGTCATACTAATGGAATTTTGTCTTGTATAAGGTAACCAAGTGTTTCAGATAATGTTCATAAAACGAATTAACATCTACATATTGTTCACCTGGCATAATCCTCTCTAAATAGCAGCACTTGTAGAAATGTGAAACTGAAGAAATCGTAGAGAATCATATACTTTATGCTTTTTTTCCTTCACGTTCCCAGTGGAACATAGGGCTTCAAGCTAGTGGCTTGAAGTTTCTATAGCAGTTATTAATTTTACAGGATGGGGTTGCTAGCCTCATGCCCACCCTTTCTTTTTTACCAGCATTATTTCTGGCTTAGAAAAGTAAAGGAGTGTGTCGGTGGCCGGAGATCGAACCCCGGACGAGCGTCCCAACCTCTATGCCACCGACGCGCATACTTTATGTGATAAAATTATAAAAATAAAACTCTAGTTTATTTGCCTTTAAATGTCAAAACATTATAGCTACTTTAAACAACCATAAAGATTAGAAGTTAATTGGTGGATGGTGATTAGCAATGGGATGTGGGATACGCATCTCGTCATATTTGGGACTCGTCATCTGGATGTAGGCACCAGGTAGTGAGTCTCAGTGGGGAGAGCACCACTCACTGGTAAATACAGGTACATGTGGCTGACAAGTCCTAAATAGGAGGAAATTGGCATCCTAGACTACACTGTTAGTCACCATTTACCAAATTTAAGAGAAGTGTTTATTTTTAAAATAATATCCACAACAATATCTAACGCATTTTAAGCAATTCTGGACTCTCTATACTATAGGTTTTAAGTTAGTTAAATCTTATCTGCCGATGTTTGTTGTTCTTTCGTAATAATTTTGGATAACTCCTTTCCTTGATATAATCGTTAGTTTGATCTTCTCACTTATTGTCATGATCACTTTGCATATGTAACTACAAGTTTAAACCTGCATGATTATAGTGTTTAAATATGTCTACTTTTTAACTGTCACCCTAACTATTATTTCGCGAAACTATTATTAATAAATTTACTTCTCCTTATAACATTGGTAAATTATATGATATATAAATAGTAGGTTCTACTGATTTGGTACAAGTAGCTGGAAACCACCCATATCAGTAAGCATTTTCCCCTATCTAAACTGCGTACCGCTAAACTTGAACCTGATTCTATGGCCTATGAATTCTAGCTTCTATCAATTCAATATTTCAGCACAACTTGCAGCAAATCTCATTGGCAAGTATTTGTCCTCAAACATGACCAGGTGAACCCCACTAGTCATGACTTTTTGCTGGAACTCTAGGTAACTTCTTCCTGTGGCCAGTCACTAGAGAGCGTCAGACTAATTCTCAAGGGTTAATTTCCAGAGATTTGATTATTTTCATGTCTGATTACTAAATTACATCAGTTAGGTAACCAATGAAAACCAAGATATACTGGACAGATATTTCATCCTAGTTCGGGGCTCTTCATCCGGAAGTATCTACCAGAGTTTGAAGCCAGGACCTTCCGGTTACAACACAAGTTCATTTACCGTTTACCGAATGGGACTCGAGTCAATGGCCCATGAATCCGAAATTCCATTTGTTCGCAAATTCAGCACGACCAGTGACTGAATGGCCTACGAGCTTTCCTTGTAACCAGAAGATCCTAGGTTGAAGCCCGTAGGGGTGTGTACGGCAGATGAGTACTATACTAGGCTGATAGCCCTATCCAGTAATTCCTGGTTTTCAGTGGTTCTCTAACTGATATCAGTCAATGGTCAAACCTGAAACAAATCAAATCCTGATAAGCTAAGTCTTGAAAAGATGATTCACTTTTTTGATGTAGTGCTTATCAATAGTGTAGGTATTTTTGCGCTTAGCTCAGACAGTGGAATCACTTCAAAAAAGCTGAATTCCTACTGTCTACTTGTATGATTTGGGTTAGTTTCGACAGCTGTTGATTGAGAATTAAACGGCAAGTAAGAACTCATACACTATACTCAATATTCTAATGTAAAATTTATTATTTAATGTTAAGCTCACAACAATAAATTCTCCCAATTCACATGGCAGAAGCCATTAGCACACAGATACACAAATTATGTCCTTTATACCCATTTGTATCTCCAAGGAGCACCGCTGGCTGATACAAGGGGGTATACAACTATTCATCTCAGGCTATCCGTGGAATATGGTTTTGTGCGAATCCGCTTACTTCCTTGATCACCATTTATGGTGTCCAGCAGATCACCGATTGTGATTGGAAAACCTTAGTTTCCAAAAGAAACTGTGGTGAAGATTTCACCAATCGAAATATGTTTATGGCGAATTGCTGAACAATTTTATTTCCTTTTAATATATGTTTATTATTCTTTTGGTTACGAGTGGAGCATAGGGCTTCAACAGCACAACTGAACCTCACCCTGTTCTCTGCAGTCGTCTATAGCTGACCACATAATTGCCTAAAATGTCTTATCTCCTCCAACTCTCACGATTTCCACCATGTCACCCTAGCACCGACGACCCACTTGTCATTTCCCATTTGGGTTATACTCGAGCAATGGCTTGGCGTTTGATGTCATTCAACAGCCTCCTCAACGTATGCCCAATCCATCTCCATTTTCTCCTACATATTTGTTGACCGATCGGCTCTCACTTGCTGGTTTGTACCCAGACAGAGTTTCTTGTTGTTAATTCTTTCAGGTCGGCTGTTCATTTGATCTTCATTATGGAGCCAGTGAAGGTGGGAGCTATTGATAAAAGTCTGTAACTTGTTGGAAATTCTTTTAGTGAGACGCAGTTCAAGTTTCTGACGCGTATAGAAGAATTGACTAACTTCACATTGGTGTTGAAAAGAATTCAAATCTTGATATTTATGCTGCGGAGTGCAGAAGGTTTCCAGACAGGTTCCAATTCTGACTGGCTTTGATACCTTTATTCGTTCCGACTGTCTGTGATTGAAATGATGTTTCCTAGATAATAATAGGAAGTAAACTCATTAAAATCTCTCCCTTTGATTGTGATTAGTGCCAGTTGTTGTTGTTGCTGTCAGTTGGTTATCTTCCTCAACCCTGTCTTCTCTTTGTTCGCTGCCTGCCTCTGCAGCCAACTTTTTGGTATTCGCCTGCAAGTCTTCAAGTCTGGCTAACCAATTTGCGAATTGTTAATTTAATTTAAGATGTTACCAGTTCATTCAAGTAGATAGCCAGAAATCAGGTTGTTTGAGCTGATTCGGCTCTCTCAGATGATGAATTCGGTCCCAAATAAGCGAAACCGCTGTCTGGTGTTGATATCACTTTAATCTGGCCAGCAAGCACTACTCGTCGAAATGAGTACTAGTGGCAATCAATCATTGCTGTATAATTTTTTCCATTTGTCTATCTTCCGGTTTTGAGGAAAATGTTTATTAACGCTTGACTTCCTCCGTTCTTATTAATCATTACATTTTCCGTGTCAAACGTTAATACAACCTCTGCTTTTAATGAAGTATACCTAAATTACCAGGTTATTTTGCCACTTGACTTCCTGAAAACTATTCTTTTCTCAATTAATCTACTACAGTTAAACTGATTTTTCAGTGTCACTATACCCACAGAAACAAAGTCTAGTTTACCAGCTTGCTAGTTTTCTACTCCGTCCTAAGCCTAGGTAAAGACAGAGGGTTGGGCATGGGGCTAGCCACCCTACACCACAAAACCAATCAATCTTCTACAGAAACTATAACGCACAATAAAAATAGTGTAAATACAAAAAATATAAATAAAATGCTTATTTCTCGCTCGAATCGGAGAAGCGAAATGGCAGAGCGGACTGGTGAAAGTCTTCGCAAGGCCAGCCAGCCAGCCGATATGTCCTCCCTCGATGAAAGCAATAATAAGAATAGGGAATTGGAAGGTACGTACAATATACGAAGCCGGCTTGGAAGATTGCCCAAGTAGCCAAATACATTAGAAGATATGGTAAAGAAGTGCTGGGATTCTACAAGAGCGGATGGAATGGATGCGGACAGTCTAAATTGTCAAGTGGGAAGTGATGAGTGGGCCGTCAGCATGAGGGTGACATGAATGATATCGTGCGAGGAGGATACAAGAGATTACGAGCAATCATTGACCCAGTTGAAGAGAACAGAACCAAGCAGAGGAAAGTGGAAATGTGTTGTTGAAGTTCTATATTCCACTCGGAACCCAAGGGAATGATAATAATACCCTCAGGATCAAAGAGGGTATATGTATATATTCATGAATAGATGTAGAACGGAAACGAAATCTAGTTTAATCCAGTGCTACTCACCCCCAAAGTAGCTGTAGAAAAAGAATAAGATCTTCTAAAAGAAATTTTTATCACAAATATA